GGTGTGTTCCTTATGCTGAAATCTCCATGTTCATGTATGTTCAACCACAACACGCAGAGTTTTGGAGGCCAGCAGCTGTATAACTATACTGTATAGTGTACTGTATACAGTGGTACCTCGGTATACGTCTGCTTTAGAATACGTCCTGTTTGGACGAAACAAATTTTGCTCGGTATACGACTTAATTCAATTATACGCGCTATGTATGAACAGGTAGAACTATCGGTGTACTAGATCAGACTAGACGTTCGCGATGCCACAGTTTATAACTTTGTTAAATTTCTTCTGATTTTAATTTGTAAGTAAAATTTTATTATTTTTATTAATCATGAATTGCAAAAAGGCAAATGAAAAGCAACAGAAAAGTAAAAAAAATGACTAGAATCACTGTGGAACTGATAAAAGAGATTGTTGAGAAATATGAAGGTGGTACGGGTGTTCGAGATTTAACTGTTGCGTACCGTATTCCGAGAACGATGATGCCGACAATCGTGAAAAATAAAGACATTATTAAATCTACTAACGTTGCGAAAGGAGTTAAATCAATTTCTAAACAGTGATCGAAGATATTACATCATGTTGAGAAATTGTTTTTGCTTTGGATAACTGAAAAACAGTGTGCTGGCGACAGCGTATCGGAAGCAATTATTTGCGAGAAAGCTAAAAAGATACATGCTGATCTCATGAAAAATCAAGCAGGAACTAGCCAGGAAAGCGAGGTGTTTCAAGCCAGCCACTTTTTTTTTATATGAGAACGGATTAATCATTTTTACATTACTTCTTATGGGAAAGGTTGGTTCGGTATACGTCCTATTCGGTATAAGTCCAAACATCAGAAACGGGATTTAGGTCGTATACCGAGGTTCCACTGTATATCGAAAGTATTTGAGTTATCCACTACAGTATTATTTAGTTTCTTTTACAAAAATCTAACCTTATTTTTCAAAAAATAATCTCTTATACTATATTCCAATCTGTTAGCTACTATAGATTGGAGTATCACTTGATATAAAAAGATCAAATTTTTCTCTAACGGGTCTTGTAATAAAGACTAAAACTTATTACCTGTCCAAAACTCCTCTAGTTTCTCCTACTCATAAACGCTCTGATATAAACTAATCTTATATACATCTCTTTCTTCTAAATTAGTATTTAAAATTGGTTAAAATTTCTACATAGAGAAATGAATATTTTTAAGATGTAAAGCAGAAATATAATTATTTGTATTTTAGTAACCACTTGCCAAATGTTCCTGAATTTGCAACTGTTTACACACACGCACACACACACAAAAATCTCTTGTATAATAATACAAGAGATTTTCTCCGCACAATTTCTATTAATTTGCATCCGTAATTCAAAATTTAGATAATTAAAACAGAACATCTTAATAATTCAAAGATTATTAAGATTTTGTTATTACCAACAAGCGTCACCACACAATTCCTATTAATCTGCTTCACATTCCATTCTGCATGTTGTGTCTGTTTTGCACAATCAACAAATCAATAATATTTAATTATCTAGGACATTAGTCGTTATAATTATTTATTTATTTTTTGTCTTAGCTGATAAAAGTCTTATCTTGAATAACGTCACTAGTCCAAATTGAAGTTTTAAACAGAATTTTTATTTGTAGTTTACAAAATTCCAGAGAAATGCAATTCAGGTTATTATTATTTCATTCTCCTGTCATTGTTAATTCGAGATTATCGAGAAATCATTACTACTGAAAATTAGTATTAAAAATATAAAGCGCTAATATAATTTAAAAATGGAGAACTTATAGCCTAATGAGATTATAAGTAGTTATTAAAATGGCAGTAACTCAATCCGAATAGCAGCAGCAGCATCAAAAAAGTAAATTAGGTTAGTAATATTAATTAATTAGGTTACAAAACAATAAATGAAAAAGATATCATAAAATATAGATTAAGAGGAAAGCTGGTGTTTGAAAGAAAAGAGCAAGTGATGATGAGACAGGTACGAAATTCCTGCAAGTAAAAAGTGAAACGTGTAGAATTTCAGTTAATTAAGTAATAAATGAAAATAAGTAGAAATTTTTTAGAAAAATAATGTAAATTAAACTGAATTTAAGGTGTTAGACGTATGCAATATTAAAGTAACGTAAAAGCATTTTATCGCTTATATTATTTTAATATTAGCCTATATACCTGGATATGTTGTTTTAACGATTAAAAAAATGTATCAGGTGTTTGATTAAACGGTTTCATGAAGAAAATTACCGACAAAACTGTAAAATAAAACATTTTAATATGAAGCTAATATCAGCAATATTCTCCGGATACAATCTCTTATTTTTGTAATCACCAAAAAGCTGTTTGAAGGCAAATGAACAAATTTGTTATGTCCTAAGAGATTGAGATTAAATGCTCTTCTCCATAATTTTACATCATAAGCTTCAATAATACGTCTAATTGTATATACGGAATTATTTACTGTATATATTACATAAAATCGCAACGGTAAAATTGCTTTATTCTTTCCAATTTCGAGGTCCTTCAAATCTTAGATCCTAGTATAGTATAGTACCTCATGTGTCTAGTAGAAAATCCGGCACTGCATAGACGTGCGGCGTCAAATAATGCTACAGGAAATATTGAATCAATGAACTCGAATAAAAACAATTCTCTCCGGACGTATTTAGTAGGTTAGTAACAGCGGGGAGCCGCTACTCGACCAGGAAAAATGGAATTGAATGGATTTAATAAACTAAATCGTTTCACTAAACTACTCGATTAACTTTCACTGTCCGCACACAAGTTATTAAATTACTTCCACTCGACTTAAATTACTGAATTATGGGACGGTGCAACATATTCTCCAGTATGTTATTGATTGCGTGATGAATTTTTACCTTCGAATTTCAATATTATATGGACGAAGAGTGTAGTATATGAAAATCGTCCACAAAATATTGAAATTCTTAAGACATGTTGCCAGAATATGTTGCATCGCCATATGCATGATATACTTCAAAGATGTGAAGAATGTTTGAGCATGAATGAGGGTCACTTGTGTGATGTCATCTTTAAAATCTTGTTACATGAAAATTTGAAAAGTTAATAGAGGTTGCGGCCGACGTTTTCATCGAGAAAACGTGTACGTCGGACGTTCAGCGCTGCCTTCCTGTAAGCCTAGAAGTTTGACAATGGCGTTTGATACGTCGAACATGATTCCACTGACGTTCCAAACGCCATTGTCAAACTTCCAGACTTACAGGATGATGGCGCTGAACGTCCGACGTACACGTTTTCTCGATGAAAACGTCGGCCGCAACCTCATTATTGCCAAGATCCTTAACTCGAATCAATATCAAAGGGAAATAAATGAAATTTCTTTAGAAACTGACAAATTTATGCATTTATTTTTGCATACGAGTTGTTATATGATTCGTAACATAAACTCTAAGAGAAATCTTGAGATTACGTTTATAAATTGTGAAAATTCTTGTTAGAATCAAGAAACGTTGATAAAGAATCACTAAAAGTATTTATTTAAGTCATATATAACTCTGAAAACGATTAAAATATGTACAACATTTTAACACTCAATTCCAGAACTGTTTTCGTACATGTAAAAGCAGAAGTCTGTATGCTAGAATGCTCTTGTTATTACAGTATTGATAGGATACTTTATTAGTAAAAGTACAGTACAGTACATATTAACAATACTAACTTTTTGCTCTAAATCGTAGTCTACAAAAGTATTATCTTAAGACAATACACACATTTTTTCTAGTATTTTATTTTATGCGTATAAAATCTTATAGAACTCAATTCGTATTCTTCAAAGTAATAAACATAGAAACTTTATACTATAATAGTCAGAACTTGTCTCGCCATTCTGATGTCCCAACCGTAATGGAAAGCCAAAATGGTGAGGCAGATGCACAGGACCATCGAGAAAGAGAAGAAGGTAAAGTTTTTCCCGAATCCGGAGAAAACTTAAGGACCCATAATAGTACCCCTATATTTTATGCAACTAATACATAACATTTTATATCACCATATAAAAAGTCTTGGCGATGTTACGCAGTGAAATTGTATTACTTTCTTCTATCGTCAATTTTCCAAAATATAGATATCACTCTGTTAATAGGTTCATCCTTGTTTTTGAAAGATAAACAAGTTTCAAAGTTTTCAAAGAATTTCATCGCAAAATTCGTACTTTTATTGGTCATCAAATCAAAGTTAATCGATGTAGAAAACGATTACAAGAATTTTAAAAAGTATTATCTCGATCTAATTAGTTTTCAAAAGACATTAGTGTTTCACGCTCTCCATTGTTATTGTATTAAACTCGCCTACGAAGATTCTATTCTAATTATACTATATAGAATGATTAGTATAACATCTCCATAGACACGTTTTGGCTCGACCATTGACATTATAATTCGAAGAAAATTTTACTTCATTTCTCAGATCATAAGTAGAAAAACCTGAATGGAAACTATTAATACCATTAAAAATTTGAGTTTCTCGAAGCATGTGATATTTTCAATTAATATAAATGCAATTAATATGAATTAATACTGACCACGTAACATATATTATTATATAAATATCGTTTACAATATCTTCAAGACATTATAATGTAGTATTAATTATACTGAATGACAAGTTATCGACTTAAGTAGTTGACAAATATTACCTATTTCATATGCATTTATATTGCTTTTATAACGTTACCTTAGGAAAATTTAATAAAATTGATTATTTTAAAGTTTTATTTCCTCATAAAAATATCTTAAAATTCGATTTTAAAGTCAGGGTGTGTATCTTAGATATGGTAAATTGGCATCCTAATTTTCATTATTATCAAGTTCACGATAATGAAAGCCAAAAAGGTAACTTATTTTGTACTTTGCAGTACATAATTTCTACGTATCGACATTGAAAGAACCGTGATCTATGACAGTGATCTTCGAAGTTAATTATATTTAAAAATATACGGAAAGAAATTATAAGAACACATACCTCGCTCCTACGATTAATTGATAATGAGGAATGTCAAATAACAGTTCTGTATAAGCGGATACACCGGTTCGACTAAACCGATCCATACTTTTCTGTAAATCTGCAATTATTAAATATTAGTCGTATTGGTTAATTTCGTAGCAAATTTTTATATTAATAAAATTACGTTAAACATTTCATAATTAAAATAAATTATATTCTACGTATGGTTAGTTTAGATCAGTGATGAGCAATCTTTTCTGGATATGGGCCGCAAGGGTCTTTCGTAGGCTTCCGGCAGGCCGCACACGTTTTTTTTTCTTATTGCCTGTGAGTACCAATATACTGTACTCCATAATTGCCAGTACATTGAGTACTAAAATTATATATGCTAATGATATACAAACTAGCAATAAGTTATATATAGTTTATTCTCATCTTTTCACTTGTCAAGCTGCGTTTGAATGCTTTTGTTACGAAATATCAGCTTAATTAGGATTGCATAATGAAACGAAAAAGAAAATTACGGTGCCAAAGCCACAAGGGACACATGCGGTCCATGGACCACAGGTTGCTCATAACTGGTTTAGATAGGTCAAATATTTTAAATCAGATTTTAAAAAATAATGTAAGGAGAATATAATGGCTTCTTCTGAATACTCGTATTAGAATACGAGTATATGGAAGATGCCATTATGATATGCTTTGTTTACAAAAAAAAAAAAAACCCCAAAATGCAGTCTTTCGATTGTTTAGGAAATCAGTCGAGACATCATTACATGTGCGCATTAATTTATCTTAAATTACTAACATTTTTAACTAAGCTAATTAAGTATTTCAAGAAAATAATTTATTTTCGTTTAACCCGAATGAAATCGTAATCGAAAGACCATTCTGCCAAATAAATTGTTTAAAAAAATACCTTAAAATGGAGTGAATAGAAACACGTTTCTGTGTAAATGATTACATAACTTCAGTAACGTTAATAATGTTTCCTTTAAAAAAAAAAATTGCTCTTATCCTTCTTATCAACACAGGTAATATACGGAGCAATCAAGCATTCCTCTGTTTTCTTCTTTTTACTTGATATTTCTTTTCACCCCATGGGTTAGTGTTTAATAGAAAGGGTAACGTAAAAGTCATGTTTACTTCTGTTTATAAACCTTACATTATGCACATTAGAACTTACACAGAAAGAAAACACAACTCAACTAAAGCACTGAGACCAAGTTAAGTAAAAACACTGTTCAAGTCGCTCGGATAACCTGAAAAATAGATTACATGAGGAAAAAATCCAGCAACGATTTACTTATCTTTCCCGACAACATTTAAAACTGCGTTGTAGTGCCATATGTTATGATATTTTATTCAAAACCTTTTTATATTTTTAACTATTATAAAATGGCAAAAAGCTTAATTTTAATGGTAGTGATGGGTTTTATAAAAAATTGTAAATGCTAATAACAAGCAAAATCATCATTAAGTGTGACCCTACTGGAGATACACACGACTCTCCATTATATCTCCACTTCCTCGATCTTTAACCACCAAAATTTAATAGAATCAACCTCCCTAATACACAAACTTCCGTGCAAAATTTCAGAAATTTTCGACAAAAATCATAGGAGTTATTAAGCTTTAAAGAGGGTAAACAAAATCATGCCTCCCATACACATACACACAAACAAACATCCGTACATATAGAAAAATTCCCCGAATTATTTGGCATTTCTCGACGTTTTAGGGTGTCCTGAGCCCTAAAATGTAAAAATCTTGTGGATAATTTTTTGACCGATCGCCATACTTTCTCTCTGTTATATATAACAATCGGGAAAGTAATATACAAGACATTGAAGTTATTAGGAAAATCCGTGTTTTTTAAGGATACTGAAGAGCCGGGAATGGAGCAGAGTTTCCTAACAACATCCTCGTGAAATACGTGAAGTAAAATTCTTCACGTCGCCAAAAATCTCGTCGATTGTGATGTTCCCCTGTAGAAAGAACTTCACATACCCACATTCTTCAAATTTAACAAACTTTTGCAACAAACAGGCTGCTGAAACTCTTTTATTTTCCATATACCTTCACTACAGAGAAGTCACCAAGTTTAAGAAATATGTTCTCACTAAAAGAAATCAAGAAGAATATGGAAACATACAAATAGATATGCTATATTTAGCTACTCCAGAGCAAAGTTTTAGACTTCTTCAAGTTTTAAACCACCGAAATTTAAATAAAAAAAAAAAAAAATAAAAAAAAAGTTGCTTGGAATGAATAGAAACAACCATCTTCATGAACATTCATATTGTTCCATCGACGTCCCTTTTTTCAGAAAATTCCGGTCGTTCCAGCGCTGAACAGCCGAATTTACATTTCTGATGAATCTGTCAACGCATAATTGTGATGATTCATTGAAATGAAGATCATTGCGTTAATCATCAATGCGTTAAATATCTAAGGAATAAATTTTTAATATATTCGATTTCTGATAATATATAATTTGAATTCTGATACAGTACTGTCTTATTATATCAACTTTTCTTTGAAACAACAGCTCCAGACTTTCGAAACAACTAGGGTTTCGCGACTTTCTGACTGTTGAAAGTCAAAAGGTTAAGAACCTCGATACTTTGACCATAAAATTACTTCTTAAGTGTCCTTTTTTTTCCATTATCAGGAAGTGTTAGTCATAACAATAGAAAAACCAGAAAACGACACTAAATTGATTTAGTGTCGTTTTCTGGTTTTGTAAATTACTCACGACTTTCTTCCGTTTCGTTTTAGTTTGTGTGAATAAGAAATTTCTACTTTTCTCCGCTTCATATTCCACAATTCTTTGAGAAGATCAAAAAAATAAAAATGTTTATTTACGCATTTATACATTACCCTTGTATTACGGACAAGGAATTACCCGAATAAAGGATCGAAATTTAATAAGTCTATACATTAAATATCTAAACTATACTTCGAAATTTATTTTAATCGATTTGTAATATTTTTTATTCTCCCATTTTCTGAGTTAATTAAAAACGCATATTCTCTTCTTTAAAAAAAAAAAAATAAGACCAGACTTCCATAAGCATTTTAAACTCTATCTGAGCTGCTGTATTTTGAACCTAGAATACTCCCAAGTGCACGAGTGTTTTCTCTTTCGTTCTTTCGAAGTATGAATGCTTTATGAAGCGAAAATAACAGAAAAGAGAGAGAGGACACTAACTCCCCTATGAATCGACCTTAAAGGCCGGTTCCAGACTTAAGAAGGATTAATTTTCGCGAGTTTACTACACACGCCCGACACGATCTTATTACGGAATATTCTTCCAACAGAATAAGCTGTTAGTGTTTTTATAATTTACGACTTAATTTCGAAATTTGAATACGGATTTATAACAACAAAGTGACGATTTTTTTTCTGGTACTTTAAACGAAGAGTAGGCATAGAATAATAACTGAAAATTGTTGTCAGAACTACTATAATCAATGCTTTTGCTGTAATAGTCGACGAGATAGTTATCTTGAAATATAAGATCCTTATAATTTGAATCCGATTTATTATATAAGCAAATATTACTTCCTTACTTATTCTACAAATGCCTATAAATTGGCGTCAAGCTTTCTTCTGCCATTTTATATTTTCTCAATGCAAGATGAACTGATGTAATTACATTTGACCTAATAACATACTATTTTGTCTATTTGGTTGTCTGGTTGATGTTAAACAAAAACGTTGCGCGGCGCCTAAACGTTAAAACTTTTCTCAAATCTCAGCTACGTTTCGGTGGAGGTAAACTGAAAATCTTTGCCGTTTTCAGTTTCTGCAGCCTTTTTACGACGTGGAAACGCCGGTAAGATCTTCATCGACCGCTAAATCTAAAAGATAGTTGAGATCGACGAAGGGGGTAAGGAAAGATCCGAACATTCGGTCGTTTCGTAGATAAAGAGACATTTGTTTACTTCGGAGTTAGGCGAACCGAATTACGCCCATACGGGGCGGACTCGAAGGACGAGCGAAGGAAACGATCAACAAACGTTCGTTTCGACACACGACTCGATACTTCTACCCACGAAAAAAAAAACAATCTAACTCTTAAGCGACGATAATGGTCCGTAAACAGATGACCCTTGATAAAATATACCAAGAAAGAATTCGACTTCCGAGTTCCGAAAGAAAGCTACCGAAATCATTAGTTTCGAATACTTTTTGCACTCCTTCCATTCCCTTATCTGGTATATATCACCTGAGATTATGCCGTATTATTTTGTCTACTCTTAATGTAATGCAAAAGATTTGCGATGAGCGAGAATGTTATTTCCGCTGGATAAACAACATAAAATTTTATTTTGATTAGATCACTCTGCGGACCATCAGTGGTCCATGCACTTCGAAAACCACTGCACCAAAACGAAAAAGACCTAACTCGACTTCTTCAGTTCACCGGAGATAATAAAATATTCACTAAATAAATAATTTATTTTATTATCGGACAGACTTTCTTACCCGAATACGAAATGACGCGGAAATCTCCTTCCGGAAGAACGGATTCCGATCTTCTCGGCCATAAACAGAAGAGAGCGGCCGCCAACAGGGGGCCCGGGAGCCACCGGAAGAGGTTTGCCATGAACTCGCCACTGTCAGCCGATGCTATTTCCGTCGTTCATTTTCTCTGAAAGAAGATATGAAAGAAATCTTAACTTAAAAAAAAAAAAGCTTTCGATATAAAAGGAAAAACAATATTCTCAAGTTAAAAACAAACTAACATCTACTGCACTTTCCATTGTTAACAGTGTAAAATCTAACTAAATTAATAAGATTTATTCGTTCCACATTTTCAGAAGCGTAAAAGCTAAAAGTTATATGGAACACGCTAAAGCCGATTAGTAAACAAGTTTATTTTTCGACACCGTTTATATATAGGCCTATATATACTGTATTTAATAGGCCCAGAAATAAATATAGCGAATGCTAACAATAAATAATGCCCCATCGGAGTAGAATATGTAAAATAATGTAGTCGTAGCGCTTACTCTCTAATTTTCTATGTTCCAGGCGCGACTAATTTAAGCAAACGATAGTACGTCTGCGAATATATCCATACTTCCGTTTATTATCGAATGAATAACGTTCCGTTGTTGAAATTTATCCTCTGGTATATTATGCATAGAAAGCTCGTCGGGAACAATTCAATGTTCTCTGTTTAAACATTTCTACCGATATTCGACCTTCTTCCTGGAAATAATCCACGTAAGGTCTGGGAGCGGCTTTGTAAGGGGACCAGATTTCCCGGGACAAAAGAGTTGGGAAAGAAAGAAGTGTAGCCAATAGCGCATTAAGTAGAAACTGTTATTAGTTCTACTTTTTATAGTTAAAATTTTTGTGGGACGAAACTGTGCAGGGTTTTTTTTCGTTCGCCATGGCTAAGTTGTCATTCTCTATTCACATTGTTATCAAAGTTAATAATTTGTAAAATTTCTGACGCATTATATTCGATAAGTCCAGGGGTAACCGGAGGAGGGAGGCAAAGAAACGAGAACGGGTCGGAGCGAGCTAAGAAAGGAGTTTCGCCAGACCCGGGACAAAGAGGGGAGTGGGCGAAAGCCTGCGGGAGAAGGGCGGAAGGGAGGAGAAACCAGGCGTCGACCGCGCAGTCGGACTCGGGTCCTCGGACGGGTGGGAAATCCGCTTCTACGATATCGACTTACCAAGGCGAGCCACGCGTAAGCCGTAAATACTCAACGCGCGTCGCCGGTCTTTCGGACCTTACAAGTCTACGCGAACGCGCGCAATAGCGGACGACGTGGCGCTGGGTACGATAATAGGAGCGCCCGGAGACTTACCGTTTCCGGAGAAAAAGTCGAGGTCCGAACGTCCGTCGCCCGCGGTAGGAAGGCATCGCGGGAGACTTCCCCTTTTTCTATTTCGGCGCAGATGACTCCCGCCCGGATCCAGACCCCGTACCGAGCGGCGCCGACCTCCCGCCGGCGCGCCGAATCCTCGAGGAGTGGAAGTCCTGACGCCGACGCTGTCTTTTCTGGCAGATTTTCGTCGGCGGAACACGCGTCCGAGAATCTCAGACCACGTGCCCAGACAGAACAAAACAGTTTTCCACGCTACGCGGCACGACACGGCGTCGGATGCCAGCGCGGCGCGAACCGATGAACTTCGGATAACGGAAATCATAAATTATTTCGAAACAACGAACAGATTCGTAAACGAGAAAGAAAAAGGGGATAAAAGAGAAAAGAATGCTACAAACAGGCACAATCTTTTCATTCGGATTCTTTGTTAGGAGAAAAGCAGATGTCCACGACGGTAAAAGCAAAAATAAATAAATAAATAAACCGAAAAATTTGGTGACAGTTTCTAGACGGTGCATTGTAATTAGCCAAACACTTTAACTTATTCAATTATAGATCGGGCGTAACGATTCGCTTAAATTCACGCGTAACTATTCGTTGGCGTTAATAAGCTAAGGAATGTCTTTTTTTCATTATAATAATTTCTTACACTTGATATTTCGTCGTAAAGAACGAAACGACACCAACGACGGAAGCGTAAAAAACCACGATCGTTTAAATATTCAAAATTTCGTCGATTTTTAAAAGCCGACGCCTATTAATAATGCATTTTTCGAATTCCTTAACACACAAATAACACCGAAAAACGATAGAAACTTCACAAATTACGTTGAAATAACCGACGATATGGAAGAAATTTTTGTTTCGTTTGTTCTCCGTTGTTTATTATAGCCTAATTGTTTTAAACTAGTCTCTGCATCAGTCTAATAAATGACGCTATTTAAACACGCAAACGAAAACAAAAAATTTCGTCTCGCCCTTCGTTAACATACGCAATTGGAGGACGACGCCGGTTATTTTAACCCATACTCATTGTTCGCCAATTTTAAATAGAAGTCTCGACGTCGATCGTCAAAGTACGATTCGGGGAGAAGCCGAAGAACGTTTATAGTCGAGAGATAGGATTTAAGAGCGAAACGGTGGGGGAAGGAGAACAAATTACGACGACGGCGACGGCAATCCGACGACGGTTTATCCAATACTTTAAAGCGTCGAAATTCGATCGGTAGTAGAAAACGGAAACATTTTTACGTGCGCGTAACGAGGACGCGAGGATCCGGCCCCGAGGTAAAATGCAACGACGAGCAACGGGTCGGGGGACTCGAGTTACAAACGTCTTTTCCTCGTCCACTATTTACGTTACGTCTGGCTTTTTGGTATATTTAGAAAACAAGCGCGCGTGGCGGCGACGCGTACCGATACGTGGAGTTGGCTTAGCGTTTTAAGCCACCTCCGCGTATCGGCTCTTCCGCTCGGTGGTAAAAATAATGACGATACTAGAGATAATTCGCGTGGTTTGATTTTAAACGACGATAGAATTATTTTTATTAAATTTCTAATCTATAAATACGAGGGTCGCAACGACCTAGCGACGAACTGATCGGCGCGAGACACTAACGCGCGAACGGACTTTCGGCCCGCGGGCGAAGGTCCGAGTTCGAAGGTCGGGCGTTCCCGCCGGCGCCGCCCGAAAATCGCCGGGAGGAGGTCGGTCGGATGCCCGAGGCCGGCGTCTTTAATTAAGGAAAAATCCCGCCGGACCCATACCGTCTGACGGCGCGAAGCGCGTGGCCGACGACACTCTCGGCGTCTGTCGGAGCTTCCCGAAAAGGCTTTATGTTGCGAGCGAAATTAACGTAATGGACGAGGAAAACGGGCCACAAGGTATACGATTATACGTGGTTTTTCTGATGCGTAACGTGGCCAACCCGCCCATACGACACGGAACGCTTCGTCAGTTTCGCGTACGTTACAAATTGGTCGGCGACGGGTCTTTCCTCGAATCTCGGCTCGGAGTGACGAAATCGAATGGCGTCTCGCCATTGGCCGAACAAACTTCGTATTTAAATACTCGGCGCAAGAAGTCGAGCGAACCCGCGAGTCGGTCGAAGAAAGTTTAAGGACGGGAGGGCTCCCGAAGACCGTCGACGGCGGACGAACCCCGGGATGCACTCGACACCTTTACCCAAGGGTGAAATAAGCCATCCCGAAGACGAAACCTTCCGATTCTTCAACGGACGCGAAGGCCGAAGTTTCTACGGAAACGGAAGAATCCGGCGACTTCCCTAAAGGAATATCTCGGAAGTGAATTTCCGTTTTCCATTCCGGAAATTATCTGGCAAGCCGAATGGAGGAGAGACTTTAAATCGCCGTCGGTGCCCACCCGCAGAGGGACGTAGCCGAAGTCGAGTAAACGAAACTCTTCGGGAACCCCCAACGCCCGATCCCGGGTATCGGACGGACGCCCGACGACCGACTACAGTTCGAATTAGCCCTAAGTCTATTTTTCTGCCCGGAGTTTACTTTTCGAAACGAAATCGCAAATACTCCCGAGTAGCAAGCCATCGGGCGTCCTCCGCTTTCCCAAGGCATCAAACTGGAGCGCGCGCGGCGCTATCGGCATCGGGCCTCTCGTTCGGGCCGTCCTCCCCCGTCAACGGCCCGCTTCCCGACGAAGGAGGCGGGCGTCAGACAATAGCTACTCACCGGAGGTCCTGTCGAAACGGCGACGACCCGTCGATCGACGTTCGACCTCGGCCGCGACGACGACGCTTCCAGGAAAGTTGCCAGTCGGCGCATGACGCGGCGCCATCTACAGGGCGGTCCGAAAAGCGACGACGGCGGCGTCGTCGCCCGTCGCCTGGCTTCGCGCCGCTTTCCGCTTACCGCCGGGTACGCGACACGAAGATGGCCGTTGTTCCGGCGGACGAAAGGGTTTTCGGACGGCGCGCCATTCGAAAGAATTTAGCGGCGGGTGGAACGCCGTCACCCGTCATTACCGGGCGAGAAACGACGGAAGGGAGGAGCGGCGCCGCTGGACCGACCGCTTTTTGCCATCGTGCCGCCGGCGGACCTCTTCCGAGAATTGCCACTCCGCTCGTCGACCCCGAATACACTTTTTTATTTTTCCTCTCCGTCAGAAAAAATCAAAAACGCGCTTCTCCAAGTCAAACCGAAATTCAACGTATGTTTTCCCAACGAATATGCTAATTTCGCTTTCGCTTATTTATCGCGGAATCGTTTATTCTCGCAAACTTTTATTAACTGCTCGACGTGTCGAAATCGATTTTCGTTATTATCGAAAATAATAATAACGAAAATCCACTACATTACCGGTTATTACGTTTGCCACACAATGCAACGTAGAAAAGAAGCTCAATTTTAATCGCTTTCGTCGACCTAATCCAGATATTATTAAATCGCTTCGTGTATTTAAATGGGAAAAATAAAGTGTTACGATAGTTAAAGTATAGAAATTATAATACTTGTAAAAAAAAATATTTTATATTTATTTAAGAGTGCTGGCTGGAGATAAGCTTATCTATCTTGGGTTTTAAAGGTGCGACTATGCGAGCGAGCGAGAATATGTGGCGAGAAGTGGCGAGACGCGATAAATATCAAACCCTCTCAAATATGTGCGAGAAAACCAGATATTTCTCGCTTCTCGCTTGTGCATGGTTTTCTTTTGCGAGAACTATATCGCTCGCAACCTCTCGCTCTCTAATAAATTCGCGTTTGCATAGTCGCACCCTAATAAAACAGTCTCGATCTATCGTCGTCTCGTAGTTAAACTATCGATTTCTTAACTCTTCCTCTTTACACAGTTAACGAGTAAATTATTTTATCTATTAATCGAGAAAAACAGAAGTTCGATTGCGTAAAACTTATTTAGATTAAAGTTGATCCCCCTATAACACTGTTGATAATTCTGTTTTATATGAATTCCGTGTTGTACGAGTCACTTAGATTTTACAAATACATGAGCCGTTCACAGCCCGGCACACGTATTTGCAAAATCTAAGCGACTCGTACAACACGGAATTCATATAAAACAGAATTATCAGCAGTGTTATAAGGGGGTCGACTTTGTATGTCGATTAAATTAAAACAAATTTATCGCCCATTCGTAAGTCGGAAAAATTACGAGGAAGTTCCTTCTATTTTTACGAAAGTTTTATCAATTGTTTCCGCTTTTTCCACGGATATAAAAATCGTAATCGAAAGCGACTATCCGCTTTATATAATGCGATAAGAAATCGAATGTTGTTCAATGAATCGTCGTATCCGTTATCGTTTCGAGTGTAAGATTAAATTTGACTGTAAGCATGGAGTGATTAATAAATATTCTGTTATGAAAAATTATCGAAAACGGCTAGAAAGAACCGGTTTATTAATTTAAAACCTGTAAAAAAAGCCCGTTTACACACGTCTGTAGTACGTTAGAAACACACCGTCTAAACTGATTACAAAACGACGAATCGAACCTAAGTCGATAAAAGATTTATATTCTAGATGAATTCTAAATAAATTAGGCTCTTCTAGCCAAACTAGTTATGTTATCTTAATTACATAAACTCTTAATGAACTCTTAAATTATCTAAAACTAATTTACGTTAGATTCGGTAATATTAAATTTACGTTTATGTAACAACTAACCGTATCGATTAATTAGGATTAAATTAGTAAAATTTAGATCATAATCTCATTCTTAATTACATTTTTTTAAAAATATTTAATAAATTTGAATGAACTATTTATATTATCTTATATATATAAAATAATAATAATAATAATTAACTTACTTATAGGCTATACAATTAAAAAGGATAATAGAAAAGATGTTTAAATCAGTAAATTTTAATTAATATTACGTTTTAATCGGTGAAAGAAATCTAAAGATGTGTATACACGAGAAAGTTCTGACGTAATTACATTTCGTTATCGTATTCGGTTGTATTTATTTCAAGCTAAATGTTATTATGTAATACGAGGACTTCACTAATATCGTTTATTTTTCATGTTATTTATATTTTCATGAATTCAACTTTTTATATATTTCTTATTAACCATTTTTTTAAATAATATTTTTACTTTCTAAAGTATGGTCTTATTTTACACGTAGGATGTGTATCGGCAGAACGAAATTCCAAGTAAATTTGTACTCCACCCCGACTAGTCTCAAACGATACAGTACTTATAATAATGTTAAAAATATGTTTAAAACATTTTACTTTATGTTATTTTAACGAATAATATTTTAGTTTAATGTTTCTTTTATACGTACAGAACAAAATTTTATTATACCATACCCAATATATGAGAAAAATACATGGAAAATGTAGATGTTTGAAGTGTCGGAAGCTGAATAAGCACGGTTTTCTGACTTAAGAGTCTGATTCGGTGGGATTAGGTGTGGTTATCCTAATCATTCATCATCCACATATGTCAATTCCTCCGTAAAATAAGATCCTTCTGATCTATTTAGCATTTCTTAAGCTACATTGCCTGACTTTACGCTTGTTAAATTCTTTAAATCTACTTTATATATAATACTTAGCTTAAAATCGTACTTTTTTCCCGTCAAAGAAGTGGTTGATAAAATAATAATCACAAAATAATGTGATTTAAATGTAATATAAATATTAGGAAAATTAACGCCCGATCGAATTTCAGGCATTTGAACGATTTGGAAAATTCGATTACGAAATCAAAAATAACACTTAAATTACATAAATTTATAATTAGGCTATATAATAGAATAACAGCATAAAGCATAACATTGAAATTAATTTTAATAAATTCACTAATTAAGTGTTTTATATAAAATCTAATACTGTATATTACTTAACCATTCTAAAAACTGCTGTGGCTAATGTAGGCTATAGATAATCACCAAACATATGCCGTAAATCCATCGGGCTAGTTTTAAGGCTAATTACTAAATAAATTACGTAATTAATTTGGCACTAGAGGTAAGCGTTAGGCGCCATCTCTTATTNTTTACGATAACGTGCATTATATTATTGTAAAAACTGTACTGTACATTACTGTATACTGTATTGTCTAGAAATTTTTCGAGCTCGTTTATTACAATAATAAATTCAACATTTAATCTACAAAAGCTCTGTAAAGTTTCTATATATTGTACTGTACTTTACTGTATCCTAGTAGCATCACGAACGGTGTTTTTGTCTTTTGTTTTCTGAACAAATGAAACGTAGAATGATTCTTTATTAATAAAACACAGTCTTAAAGATTTTATTTTCTGTAAGTAAAATAACATTAGCTTTATAGTTTGTATACTGGCACAATGAAGTATACAAACATAAATAACAACACGGTTTCGACAACAACAACAAATTAGCTTTATAGTGTTTGAAATCGCTAAGGTCCCCCACGTTTTTTTCTGTCCGGGGTAAAATCTTCTGCTCACTCTCTCCCGGCGGCATTCTTTAAGTGTAAAGTATTAGTTATTATTCCAGGAGGTTTCGATTATTTATTTACATCGACGGCCGACGTAGGTGCATCCATCTGGAGGTCGAACCGAGAATTAAAAGGGAATATATTATCTGCCACAAGTTGGAATAAATCAAAGATTTCTGGATACTTTCTCTGAAATTATTTATGTAATAATCAAAGACTTCGATATATAAACTAGACTCGGCTGAGATGTTAGTACGGTGCACGAAAATTGAAGTTGTAAAAAATGGCTATTATAGGATTAATTTTAAAGTTTGTTTAATGCTTTAATACAATATTTTGGAGAAATTTCGCTTCCTGAAAATTTTCCATTAGCATTTTACCTTTTATCCGATATATTGTTGAGTGATAAAGCTAAGAAATTAATTTACTAAATAAAATTTAAAAAATAAAGACAAAGATGTTTTGTTTGTTATTGTTATTTTCGGAATAAGTTTTTATTGTTTATCTTTTAAGTTATACTTTAACAATTTTTAAATTATTATTAATTAATTATTTCTATAAATTATTTTCATTGTTATTATTAATTAAAGCTGTACATTTCTATTACTGTTTTATTTTTATAATAAATGTTTCTGATTGTATGACTAATTATTTTTATCTTTATTCATTTTATTATTATTTTAAACAGATATTTAAAATAGGAATTTATAGTTGGAAATTCCAAGAGTTGACTAATAATATAGTCAACATTCTAATAAAAGGGAAATTTTGTTTATTTGTGACAACGTTCTCTATGAACTTCTTCTTTTTTCTCAACTTTTTCGGAAAAATATATCGTATTCTTATTTATATATTTTCCTAAATAATCCGTTTCATTGTATTCTATAGAAAAAACCACAAATTTCTTTCAAATTACCATAAAAGTTCAATCTGTAAAGTCACAAAGAACACGCGCTCTAAATAATGACACGGATCTGTCTGTGGGGTCGTTACTAACTTATATAATCGGAGTCTTCACCCATATTTAGGTAATTTAGTTTATCGCTTCCGATGTAAAACCAAATAATGCGTGAATATTTTGAATGTTATTTACTTAAAAACACTAATTTACTTTCGACATTTATTTAAAATATATGCTCTCCACTTCAAATTAGTCTTGCCCCTGTAAATCATACTTTTCCGTTAGCAATGGAATCGTGCCGGTTATCTATCTAATTCTTTTTAGGAGAATTTTTTTAATTG